CACACACACACACACACAAACACACACACACACACACACACACACATATATATATTTATATATGTAATGTATTTGTGTGGATGTGTGTATACATACTCAACCTATTGTGTTTTACCTACTATAGGCGGTCAAATTCAGAGAACGTTTCCGCGTATACCCCCACACCCACTCGCCGCAACATCACTACAGTGAGGCCGACACAGGCTCATATGGAGATACGCTCTATCGGAGGGGAAGAGACCTTCTATGTAAAGAAACGTGTGGTGAGAAAGGGAAAACGGACACCTCAGCGCACGTTCAGCAATCTGTTGGGTAGGAGTATCCATGATATTATTGATGAGTTGGATAACGAGCGCATGGAGAAAGTCATGGCGGCCAGCAAGCAGGCGTCGGATATGTTCGATGCGGCACTCAATGAGACGGACGATGGTGTCGAAGGTAGGGATATGCACGTGGGTGACGGGATGGCTGGCAGTATGGGTAGAGGCAATGATGCGGGATGTTGGTATACAGTTGAGGCGATTGCGTATGGGACGTTATAGTAAAAGCATAGTATATGTATGGGATAGCAATTTGTGAAGAGAAGGTATGTTGTGTTGTTGTTGTGAATATATCTTATATTTGATTACTGGATAGAATTTATTGTACGATAAAGTGTGTGTATAGAATTGACAAAAAGAAGTAAACATGTGGTCCAACGCAGGCGTCGGATATGTTTATTGTCGCGTGTAGATGATATGCCAGATAGACGGCCCTTTTGAGGCGTATACTCCAACATACGTACGATAGAGTTGTGTGTACGTACCTAGCTTATTGGTGATAGTCATAAAGTGCGGGACTCGTTCCCATCTTTAAATATATCACAAACGTCCTGTCCTCTTTGCTCTGCCACTGGCGAACATATGCACTCGTTCTGCTAGACATAGCTGACTTTGCTGTGATCTTTATTAGTGTTAGTTTAGTCTTTTGTAGTGTCCCATGGTTTGTAGTTTGGTACCTAGTGTCCCGAACTGGATGCCAAACTAACTTGACATGCTACGTGTCGGATCTTCTCATTCATTATGTGCACACGTGTCTTGTGTTTGGATCGGCTTTAGGGGTTTAATCCTGTTGCACACATAGCACACATATCAAGAATTATATATACACGTTCCTGATGTACACGTACGCATGCTCTTGTCCGTTATAGCAGACAATATACCATTGCCAGTAGATCTGGATGAGAGACCCGGCGACCAGTTATGGGTCACCAAGTACTCGCCCAAGAGCTACATGGAGTTGTTGAGGTAAGGAAATATGTACATATGTCTATATATAGACGTATACATACGAATGTGTACTTGTGCATGAATATATAGACATACATGTAT